TATATATATATATGTATATATATCTAAAGGGCAGGCTATTTGTCATACATCTTCCATCACAGATGACTATTTCATTACAAAGAGTTTATGAAAGAAGACGAGCTGGAAATATAAAAAGTAATAAAAGCAAGAGAGAGATGACTGTTTTAAACAGGCAGTACCTTAAAATAGTCTCGTTTTTCTCTGAAGCACCATATGGAACACTTTTCCAAAGGCATCAAAAACGCACACGCACCTGCCCCCACACACAGAGGCATTCTTGAGTTCCCCCAAGATTTACCAAATTCTAATGTATTTGTCATGCTAGTTCTGGTAAATAAGTAGCCCTAAAACCACACAAGGAAAACCTGTACAACACCAGTTTTCATTTCACGGCTCTGTAGCTAATTTTCTCCTCCGTCCTCAAAGTTGCATAAAGACAGTGGTAGCTCCTGATAGCATTGCAGAGTGAATAACTGATGTGTTACTGGCATGTGTGACACAATAGATAAGCACTTTATCTCTCGGAATGTGTTCATGTCTATTATAGGTCTTTTGAATAAAACTCACAAAATGTCCTGAAATAATTTCTTTTAAATTCAAAATAAACTTTAATTTAAGAAAGCTGTCTCCAAACAAAATTTATACATATTGTATTTACAATTTTGCTGCTGACTAGGTAATAACTTACATTACATCTAATGCAAAACCTTCCCATTGCATTAGTCATACTTAATGTGCTCCACTCAGCCTTTAGACTGAAACCAGTGCCAGAGCAGACAAGGGAGAAATTTCAGGAAAATATAAAGTCTTTTGTGTATAACCATGACACATATGATTAATAAGAAAAGAAAAAATAATCTAACCTAAAAGGAACAAGCTAAGGCACTGTTGGTAAATCATTACAAAACCAAAACTGGCAGTAGAAAGAATGTGTATTTTCCAAAGAGGGACATACAAAGTTGTGGTGGGGTTGACCCTGGCTGGATGCCACGTCCCCACCAAAGTCACTCTATCATTTCCCTCCTCAGCTGGACAGGGGAGAGAAAATAGAACAAAACACTTGTGGGTTGAGATAAGGAGAGGGAGAGATCACTCACCAGTTACCATCATGGGCAAAACAGATTTGACTCAGGAAAATTAATTTATTACCAATCAAGTCAGTGTGGAATAATGAGAAATAAAACCAAATCTTAAAACCACTTTCCTCCCACCCCTCCCTTCTACCTGGGCTTGACTTTACTCCCAAGTTCTCTACCTCCTTCCCCGCGCCAGCAGCACAGGGGGACAGGAAATGGGGGTTGTGGTCAGTTCATCACACATCTTTGCTGCTGTTTCCTCCTCAGGGGATGACTCCTCACACCCTTCTCCTGCTCCAGTGTAGAGTCCCTCCCATGGGAAACAGTCTTCCGCAAACTTCTCCGACATGAGTCCTTCCCACAGGCTGCAGTTCTTCAGAAACTCGAGTGTGGGTCCCTTTCATGGGTGCAGTCCTTCTGTAAGAGACTGCTCCAGTGTGGGTCCACCACGGCGTCACAGGTCTGCCAGCAAACCTGCTCCAGTGTGGGCTCCTCTCTCCACGGGGCCACAGGTCCTGCCAGAAGCCGGCTCCAGCGCGGGCTTCCCTCTAACTCAAGGCAGAAGGTGAAGGAGGAAAATAAAAGTAGTCCATACCAGCATCCCTGAAGCTTTTTTTAAAGATCTACTTTCCCTTCACACCTTCTCCACCTGCAGCCTCTGTTGCAACGCTGTGTGCTGGTGTTGTGGGAGGAAGATGTGCACTACTTGCAGCACATTTGGCAACATGCCGTTTTTAAAAAAGCTTTTTGGGGTGGAATATCTCCCCAGATCTAATTATGTAAAGCAAAGCATGTTCTAGGTACCATGTTGCCAAAGCTGTTGCTCAGCCAGTGAGCCAACTACACACCTACACTCAAATTATCTGGCCACTGATTTAGACCAGTAGCGAGGTGGATCCCTCATAAACCTTCAAAACTATGTGCTTGCTGGAGCAATTGTGGCATTAAACTGTCTCATGGACTTAAAGAGTTTGCAATTTGTTGGGGTTTTTTTTGCCTTCTCTACATGCTCAGAAAGATGGGAAGTGTAACACAAACGGCACAGGAGTGGTGCCAGCCTCTGACCTATTAAAACAGAATTGGCAACCATTTGCTTTTCTGACCAGATAACTTACCATGGCATGGGCAGTTGCATCAGGTAAACATGCCCGATGACTTCTGTGGTCGTATTCCAGACTTACTCTAAACCTGTTTGGAATTAACTTGAAGATGTTGCAAAACAGATAGGAGACTGCATTTGAGGAAAATGAAGAATGAAGTACTACCTATAGATAGTGCAGCCTTCCAGAACTGAAGCAGGAAAATTAAACATTGGATGGAACATAATGGAAACTGGTGTGCACAAAAACTTTGTGCCCTTTCTTTGGCTGCTGGGTAAAAAGGTGCAGAACTTCAGTCTTTCTTTACTAATTCAGGCCTAAACACCTGAATTGGTTGGTTGGCTGGTTTGTTTAAGAAAGTACTACTCTATTGCTGAGCAGCCTCATACTTCATTTTTTGCTTCCACTAAAACTGCTGCCAGATGAGGGCTGGGTGCAGGAGTTGTGGCTTAATATTAAATGTATTATCCCAAACAACCACATATACTGGGGATCCTTTTACTCTTTTCAGCTTCACAAACAAAGCAGCAGCATTTGTGAGATCACATAAAATCTCAAGCCCATTAAAACTATAGTTCCTAGAGATCACTCTAGAACTGGTTATTTTGTTATTTTGGATTATTATATAAACATGCTAGAGAATGTTACTTAGTTTTCCCACTGTAGCTTTACTCTGCGATACTTGCCTTTTCTCTTTGAAAAATCTGCTTCTGCAGAAATACAAATTTGGGCTTTTACATTTTTCCACTGACTGCTTCCTTCCCCTTAAGGGAACAATTCATCCTCCTCTTTCTGCCAAAATGAAGTGATTGGTAGCAGTGCTGACTTTTCTTAGCATACCTTTTTTGTTACAGCCACAGCTACGTGGCCAGATTCATAAAGCTATTAGGATAGTGATGCACTCATATTTTTTAATGAGAAAATAAACAAGCTAAGGCCTGTTGGCAACATGGACAGTGGGATTAAGTGCACCCTCAGCAAGTTTGCCGATGACACCAAGCCAGGTCGGGACAATCCCAGGCACAGCTACACGTTGGGCGGAGAAGAGATTCAGAGCAGCCCTGCGGAGAAGTACTTGGGGGTGTTGGTTGATGAGAAGCTG